TTGTTGTCTTAATTTTTAAGTTTTTTAGAGTTTTTTTTGTTGTTGTTCTTTTGTTTTAATTTTTTAGGTAGGCTGCACACCCAGTGTGGAGCCCAATTCAGGGCTTGAACTCACAACCCTGAAATTAAGACCTGAGCTGAGATCCAACAGTCGGACGCCTAATTGACTCAATATTTTCTAGTGTATTATTCTGATTCCTTTTAGTAATCATTTTTTGTATTTTTTTACTTTCTCAACGGTTACTCTAGGCATTTACAAGTATATACTTTGTTAGAATCCACTTTAGCTTTATAGTAATTTAATTCTAGTGAAATATAGAAATGTTACTCCTATAAAGCTTTTTTTGGTTAAATATGTTGCATCTTTATATGTTAAAAATGGATCAATACATTGTAATAATTTTCATAATTTTGTTTCAAAATAGTTGAAAGAACAAGTTATACATAGTTTTTTTCTTTTTTAGTTATAAAATTTAATTGAAAAGATCAAGCAGTGGTTATTGGTCAAACCAATCCACATTAATACCTGTGAAATATGCAGACACTAGTTCTTAAATAAAGGTGACAAATACCAATCAGATTCTTATAACACTGTTCAGAATCTAAATAAATGTGATCCTGGACATTATTCAATCCATAAGGCTAACTGAATGATAGTAACAATCATCAATAATTAAACCAAAGGCACAATTTTCCAAATCACTTTTAGTTAAACAGAATAAATTCTAGCTTTTTAAAAGTCTAAATATACAAAAAACTCAAAGCAATCTGTTTTTCTACCTGAGATCAAAACAAGTTTCTTATATCCTATCTAAACATGATTCTTGACATTGAAGTAAATCTGAATTCACATAATATACTTTGTCAAACTTTTCTAAAAAAATCTAAGCCCTCCTTTAGAAATTCTCATGTTACACATACATATGTACAAGATTAAGAGGCATGTAATGGGACCATGATACTACTAATAATGTGAAAGTAAAAAGTCATTCATTTATACAAAGTGTTCCTGTATGGTGCAGTATGAAATGGGATCACTGTCTTTGTACATACGCAAATCACCAAATGTTCAGAAACTAAGCCCACTTTGAGAAAAGTCATTCTATTTTTCTGGAGCAGAGGTTGCCAAGTTGTGATGTATAACAAAAATATTGTGTATAAAAATATTGTGTATAGTAAAAATATTGTGTGAAACCAAGTATTAGCCTAAATTGGCAGTAACTGCAACTTAAGTTAAAAATTAAACCCAACTAGATCTTTACTGTGGCTATACAACTTTTGCTTTGGGGCCTACAGGTTTCACTGAGGTAACAACCCCTTATCTCTTGCCTCTCTCTCCTCCTTGCACTCCCCCTGCCTCCAGCTTCTTTCTTCATGGCTGTCTTTGGCAACGCTTCTAAATCTTCAAAGCAAAAGAACCTGCTAGAGTAAATGAGGAGGATGAAAAGTAACACAATACATGATGTACAAAAACCAATCTAAGACTATGAACCAAGAAAAAACAAACACTAGAAGGAAGGCTGAGCAGCAGTGTACCCTCAAGGGAAAGCAAACATAAAAAAGCAATAGGGGATCTGTATTCTTGACCCTTCTTGCACATTATCTCCTGATTGAGAGGAGCATGGCACCAAAACGTCAAACTCTCAAAAGGTAATGACTCTGAAGGAGGAGCTAGAGAAGCAAATACATGATAAAGAATTACAGCAGCAGCTTTAATGGTCAATGAGTTTCTTTGCTCTGGCATTGGCAACATCGGTATGATCTTGGTTGGTGTCAGCCTTTTCTGTGAGCCGGTCTGTTTGTTGATTTTGAGCCTCAATCTCATTGCCCATGTCCAGGGCCAGGTTTTTTAGGTTTCCTAGGATACTGCCCACTTGAGTTGGTTCTCTTCCATCTCATTTTCTCTGGCATTGTTGGTTATATGTTTAATGTATCCACTGATAGCTGCTCCAGTGGTTGGTTGAAGCTGACCATTTGTCACTTGGTCTGGCTGCATAGCTAAACATTGCTAGGAGAGCTGTCTCCACCACCTCCCCATGTTGCCTTGCAGGCCTTACCAGACTCAAAGTTCTTTGTCCTATTACACAGGCAGACGCAAAGGCCACAGCACTTGTTGGGTTCTGTTAAAGTCTTCTGTGTCTCTCTCATGTCTTTATTTGGTCCAGGCCTTCTTCTGTGTGGTTTAGTTGCTCCCCTTGTTCATCCAGCATAGTGACAGTCTTGATTCCTGTATCCTGAGAATTAAGGGCTAAACCCAGTATTTTCCTTGTACTTTCCAGAAACTCATCCGTAACTGGATGAGTGGGTGGGCTCTTAGTTGAATTTCTTCTGATGACAGATTACCCATGATGAATTAGAACTTTGGATAAGCACAGAAAGTGAAACGTAGATATTCAAGCAGCTCTGGCCACACCTCTCACTTTGCAATGGCTTGGACACCCACAGGCCTGACCAGGAGCTACGTCCTCCTAGTGCCTGCTTATTTATAGTTTTTTTATATTTACCTTTTTTTTTTTTTACACCATTTCATGTTCTCATTTCTTCCTGTGGATTCATTATTGAAATACAGTTTTGCTTCCACCACCTGCTTTATGGTGTCACAAATATACATTTCTATGTTATAGGTAACACAATTATATAGTTTTGTAGTATTGCTTTTTAAGTCAGCTGAGGGAAGAATAGGTCATTACAATGCCTTTTGTAATTTCCTACATAATTACCTTCTTCAGCATTTTTTTTCATGGGGATTTGAATTACTGCGTGGTCTCACTTCCTTTCAGCTTGAAAAAATTCACTTTCTTGTAAGATCGGTTTCCTAGGAATTAATTCTTAAAATCTGAGAATGTCCTCACTTTGCCTTCATTTCTAAAGGATAGTTTTGTTAGAAGATTCTTGATGGTTTTTTCCTTTCCAGCACTCTGCATGTTATCATCCCACTGCCTTCAGGTCTGTTTCTGATAAATCAACCATTAATGGAGTTTTCTTGTACCTAGTGGTTTTTTGTTTTCAAGATCTCTTTCAGTATTTTTAATCTGACATGTGTGTGGGTGTAGACCGAATGGCCTACTTTCTGTTAAGAATTTACTGATTTTTCTCAGATTAATGTTTTCCACCAGATTTGGGATTTTTAAGCATTAAGAAATCTTCAAAGTATTTTTCTGCTTATTTTCTTTCTTCTCTCTTTTGGGAATTCTCATTACACAATGTTGGTGATTCATATTTCTCTCAAGTTATTTTTCACGCCCTTTTCTCCTGCTCTTCAGGCTATTATCTGCATCATTTGGTTCTTTTAAAATACTGTTTTCTATTTATGAAATATCATCATACCTTTACCTCCAGCATGGGTTTAGTTTTTTAAAAAATATACCTATGAGAGCTGCTTGGAAGGTTTTTGTGCTTCGAACATCTGGGTCCACTCAGAGGCAGTTTCTTTTTACTGTTTTGAAATCCCCTTGGTTTTGGGACACACTTTACTCTGCTTCTCCACAAATATTGGAACTTTTTGTTTAAAATTGGACAGTTTAGATAATACAGCAGCTCTGGAGACTCATCCTCTTCTCTTCCCAAGGCTTTTTAGTGACTCAGCTAGACTTTCTAAGTCCATTTACCCTGCACTGTACAGCATCTGATGCTCCTCTGGAGAGGGCACAGCCTGGGAATGTGCAGTCACTCGGAATCCTCCCTCCAACCCCAGGGACAGTTTTAGTAGGGCATTTAGGTTCCTTTCTCCAATCTCCTCGTAAGGGTTCTAGTTTGCCGCCACTGTTATCACTCTGTAATTAACAGCCACTAATTGTTGGTGGGCCTATTATTTTGGGCACTGGGGTGCAAATGCCTACACAGTTTGAGCCAATTAAATTCAGGCCCTTAGTCTCGTTGAGGCTTGTTCTAGACCTAGGACTACTCTTAGCTGCCTTTCATTCTCTGTTAGGATCATCACTGGTTTCCCTTTTGCCTGTTGCTATCACAGAGTTACCAGTCTCTTCGTCTGTCTCTACTCCCACTCCAAATTTCCTTTGTCTATGGCAGCACCCTTAGGCTTTAACTTAGAGGATGCTATGGAAGCTCTGTTTATAGTTTGCTACTGTCTCAGAGTTGGAGATGGGGAGAGTAGCCTGCTTTTCTAGGAGTGATAAATAGAGCAGTAGTCTACAAATAGAGCAGTGGGTGACAGCTCCTGGTCTTGTTTGCCTTTCCTTGCATGGAACCTCCAATCATAAGCTGGGGCAATAGTGATCAGAAAACAGTAATCTTGGTCTGCCATTCCTGGGCTAGATCTTCAGTGCTTTAAGTGGGGACTGGGTGGAGGAAGGAAGGTCCAGTCCTCTTTGCTACTGTTACCTGAAATAGAGCTTCTGTGACATAGAGCTTGCGGGGAGGGGGCAGGTAGAATGAGAAATGCTAGCAGTCTGCCCATCCTAAGGAGAAACTGTGGGCTGAAATTGGGAGCTAGGGGGAGAAATAGTGTGGCTCAAATACCAAAGAGACTTACTATTCTTACCAAGTTTTAGTCTTTTCTTGAATAAATGTTTCTGTAATATATGTTTTCATTTGCTGTATGCTTTTATGACAACTCCCAAGACTTTAAGTAAAAAATATACATATATTTACCAGTTACGGTTGTTGTCATTTAGGAGTCTGCAGATCATGTTGCCACTCCAATTGTGTTTCCTGATTATTTTTGAGAGAGAATATGAGGGAGGGGTGGGCATGTAGGGAGAGGATCTTAAGCACATTCCTTACTGAGCGCAGAGGCCGACACAGGGCTCCATCCCAGGACCCTGAGATCATGACCTAAGCCGAAATCAAGAGTCAGACACTTAACCAACTAAGCCACCCAGGTGATCCTTCCTGATTATTTTTTAATGCATGTTTTAAAATATAAGCAATCAGAACCCTTTAAATAGGTAGTATGCTCAAAACCTTTAAATAGGTAGTATGCTCAAAACCTCAGAAAAAGCTTTCTGCTGCCATCAGTTGATTCATCATCAACACACAGCCTACAGAATAAATAGGCAGTTCTTTAATAGTTAAATATATTCCAGAAGTAAGGAGTGTTTATAATTCATTTACAAGTGAGTCTTTTACACCAGTAAATGCTGTTTGACCTGTTGTATAAAGTAAATAACGCTGTGTAAGAATTAGTCCTGGAATAGTTTGCTGAATTCCTATTTCCAATCCAGTAGATTAAAAACACAATTGTGAATGATATAAAGACGTAAGAATCATATTCTGATAAAATCAATCTCAAAAATAGAGAATCCAGACCCTTGCTGGATAATTTAAGAACTCAGAAGTTTTCCTCAACTTAAACATGAGTGCCACACAGAAAATATTGAAGATGTCTTTCAATGTGATGAAACTGTACAAAACTTTAGAACATGACCATCAGATGACCAATGTATCAAAACCAACGGGATTTAGAAAACACATCTAATTCTGAAGTAAGCAGAAATAAAGACAATTTATGAAGAATTATAGCTAATTTCTAATCATCATCAGAGTCTGAATCATATTTCTTCCCTCGGATAGTTTTCTTTTCCAGCTTTGTGAAGTTTGTTCCAAATTTCTTTTGGCTCTGAAATGGTGGCTCCATTAAATTTCCACTAAAAATAAAGCAAATTTGAAAAGCATTTATTCTTTATGATAGTACAGTTGGTATGCTAACCTGCATAAAAATCTCTTTTCTTCCTAACCTATGGAGTAAAGTTTTCTTTAAAATGCTGGTGTCAAGGAAGACGTATATTATTCATATTGACGGTTAAGAGTTTTAAACCCTATTTTGTATAACTAAATGTTTTTGATCAATGTTTTATTTTCTCTTATCATTAATTACTAACATTTCACTAGATGTACGAACAGAGTTTCTAAGCGATAAGCACAGAAAGAAAGAAAAGTTCTTCCACCTGTTTGGAGATGCTGAACTTGGATTAGATCTTCTTCACTATAAGAATGACACAGGAAAATGATCTGTTTTTTACAGCTTATTATGGCTGGTATGATAGTGTATCACATCTTTTAATGTTTAGAAAAACATCAATAAAACTCGTGGAATTCATCATCATTAACCTGGAATTGGTATGAAATTTTTCAATAATGCTTGGGAAATAATTGAGACATATTCTTTTTTCAAAAATATTTAGGAAGATTCCTGGCACCTAGATTCTGGTTGTGAAATATCATCTGCCACTGAGAGGAACCACAGTGCCTTGGGGAAATGGTCAATTCTTGGGAGAGTCCCTCTAAGACTTATTTGCACCAGAAAGAAAATGCTTAAAGAACTGTGGGGACATGTAAAAAGGACATAGAAGCCTGCATGAAAGGGGATCTCACTGGCCAAATATGGGGCAATTTGGGCTTCAAAATAAATAATAAAAGTAACCACCTATCGCCCACTGGGTAAAATAAGCTACTGCCCATTCTAATATGAATAAATGAAAAAGTAATTAATGAGGGATATGGAAAAGTTCTTCTTAAATCACTATTTGGCTTGGTAGACAACCTGTTAACCAGTGCTCAGTTATCCACCACCAGAAATGAGACAAAACATTCTTTATCTCCTGGTGTGCTATGCCGAGAAGAATACAGTGTCACTTCTATCATGTACTTATGAGAAAATGCATAGTCCAAACCTAATCTTGAAATGTTAGACAAATCCAAACTGAGGGGTGCTCTACAAAATAACTAGCTTGTATTCTTCAATTGAAATATAATTGAAATAATAATAATAATTGAAATAATTCAATTGAAAAATAAGAAAAGTTGTTACATATTAATGCAAACTAAAAACACATAGTAACTATATGAAACATTTTAGTATGCAGGATCTTATTGGGACAGTCGCAGAATTTGAATAAGATCTGTAAACTACATAACATTTCCTGTCTTAATAATTGCACTAAGGTTACATAAGAAAAACCTCTCAATGTTAGAAAATACACAAGGAAATATTAGGAGCAAAGGGACAATACATCTTCAACTTCCACTCAAATGGTTTTGAAAAGAAAGTGTGTATTCAGAAAAAGAATGATAAAGCAAATGCAAAATGCTTAAAATTGAGAGACACGGGCAAAAGATAGATGAGAATTCTTTGTACTACTTTTCAACTTGTTTAAAGCTTGAAATAATTTCAAAATACATTTAATAAATATTAGTATTTTGTTATTAAGAAAGTAAAACCTAAAACTCCAAAGTCAATTTCTATAATGTATGCATAATTTAGGCATGTGTAGGGAAGATTCAGAGAAAAAGGAACAGGGAAAAGAGAACTTTTTACTTACTGAAAAGCACTATGACTACAGAATGATAATTGTATAATTTTATCTGTTAATTTTCCCAATCAAAAACAGGCACAGAAGGCAAAATGACAGGTTCTGATTTGTGGAATCAGATAAACCATTTGGCGAAGTGGACAAGGAGATTAATGAAAAATGGAAATTGGATTTTAGACTGTTTTCAAATTGAGACTGTCTCCACAATAATTTAAGCTGATCACAGAAATGAGATTATATATTTTATCAGATTCTACAAGACAGGAATAGCTACATTAAAAAATCTAATGTTCAAAAGTAAGTCATTATCAATTTGAGTAACTTGGTTTAAATCAGGGAAGAGTCAATTCCAAAGTGTCATTTTGGGTTTTCAGACTAATAGAAAATTAGATTCAATAGGATCTGTTAGGATGAAAACTTTCATAGTTAGGTGTACTCCAAGACTCAATTTTATCTGTAACTCTGATTTTGTTGTTAGATCATGCTAATAATGTACATTTTAAGAAATATGTTTTCATTTGTGAAACATTTTCTACATCTAACCCAGAAGACCTTACTTAGCTCCATAAAATGAATGCTAACATAAAAAAAAAAAAAAAATTCTCTAAAAATATCAACTGGATATGGAATTAAAATCAGTTGTTTTGCTAAAAATTACCTGTAATTGAGAATATCAGAACAACCCAGCCTCCATTCTAAAGTTTCTGTGGTGAAGTCATCTGTATTTCCTAAGTCAGTAAATCCAACAACATAATCTTGTGTTTTCCCATCTTTTACCAGTGCTAGTGTGGGAATGACTTTGATACGCAGTCTCTCACAAAGGAAAGGTGCTTTTTCCACATTCAGCTTCAGAAATTTGGTCTCAAGATGTTTCTTAGACAGTATCACCAAGTGTCGGTCTAATATTTTACACCTGTAAATAAAAACATATAGAAAACCAAAAGCTAAAACAGATTTTTCATATTAAAAATAAATATCGTAAGGGTACATCTAATTTTACAGTTTTTCTGCTTGAGTCTCATAATTTGACAGCCAGCTTGTGTCAGATGACCTCATTTCATTTCATAGGTTAACTGACGAGAGGCAGAAAATCATCCAGTATTCTAGAAAGTCAGATATGCCTTAATGATACTTATAAAAAACAAAATACTAAATACATGCTTTCAGTCACAAGTGGTTCATGAAGTTGTCTTGTTCATGGTAAGAACAAAAAACTGTCACTTCTCTTATGCATGTTTCCTAGTGTCTCAGACACAGAGCCTGAAGGGTGACAAATCTGACTTGATAGAACTCAGAAGAGGATTTTCAGGATTAGAAATGTACACACAGTGCCATATTTGGAAGTCATTAAGACTGAATGGTGTCACCAAGAAGGAACTCTTCTAACTGCAACTATCATTAAGAAGCACAGGGTAAGGGGTATAAATGTGGTTATATGGTTCTAAAGAAATGAAAAATACCAGTAGTAACTTTTATTAAGGCACTTTCTATTGAAAAGAAAAATGGAAATGACATTTTCTGAAAGTTAAAATGTATTTTAAACTGGTTGATACTTTAGTGTTCCTGAAACAGAGTACTGTAAAAATCTTTTTGAGTAGTTCTTAATCACAGTGTTCATTAAAGTCAGCTTTTAAAATATATGATCTAAAATTCTCTGCAAGTGGAGCTTGGCAAACACACAGGTGATTCTCATGCCCCATAAAGTTTGATAACTACTGCTTTAGATGATGAAGACATCAAATGTTTCATAATTACTGGTAGGCTTTCTGCATACTTCTTGGTGTAGAATTATTCCTGAATTAGGACTGGGTCCAGCAAGTTCCTGGTAACCTTGATGCCTCATCACTCTACCTTTGAATGCATCTTTTCATATATCTCCCATGTAGTATAGCAATGAGAGTGTAGTGAAAAATAGTTGGAGAGAACAAGTTAATAAATGGTTTCTGAATGAAGCTCAAAACAAATGATAAATGAACCATTACATGAGAAGTATATTCTTGAAGACTTGTAGGTAAGTCAACTCCATGGTTTTACTAGAGTTATATGGAACCTATTTTAGGTAAATCTATGACTGTACCATTTGTTAATTCACTTTTTAAAAAAAAATCCAGAAGCAGCAGGCTTAAATCCTGGGTTCAAATCCTTTTCTGTCATTTAGTAGACGAGCGACATTAGGTGAGTCACTTAATCTCTCCCAAGTCTTGGTCTCCATGCATGAAGCTTTGGAATTATACCTACATACCTACCTCAAAGGGTCATATCAATGCTCCAGGATTTTATACATGAAGTTTCCAGTCTATTATGTACCAAGAACTCTGATATCTATTAGATCTAAAATTTTCTGATGATTTTTTTTTCTATTTTTTAAGCAATCTCTATATCCAACATTAGGCTAAACTCAAGACCCTGAGATCAAAAGTCAGATGTTTTACTGGCTGAGCCAGCCAAGTATCTCTTGATTTTTCATTTTTGCTTGAAAGTAAGTACTCCTGGTGTTGCACTGTTTATACAACCATCATATATATTTACTGAGCACCTACTATGTGTCAGCCATTGCTGCTCTGGGGGTAAAAACTTGGGAGAACGGGGAACCACAATATAGGCAAACTCTGTTTTCACAAAACAATCTAGTGGGCAAAAACATCTAATAAACATCAAATGATATCAACCTTAGAGACCAACATGATATTAATATACCACCTCATCACGTAGGTCAGAGGTGGGCAACTTGAGAAATGTGTGCCAATGGGAGAGGACAGAGTACCACAGTGACAGAGGGCTTCTCTGATACCCTTTCTTTTCTTTTTTTAAGATTTTATTTATTTATTTATTTACTTACTTACTTATTTATTTTTATTTATTTTACTTTTTTATTTCAGAGAGAGATCACAAGTAGGCAGAGAGGCAGAAGAGGGGGGCGGGAGCAGGCTCTGTGCTTCAAGCAGAGAGCCTGATGCAGGGCTCAATCCCAGGACCCTGAGACCATGACGTGAGCTGAAGGCAGAGGCTTAACCCACTGAGCCACCCAGGTGCCCCGATACCCTTTCTTTCCTAATCCCTTCCCATACCTTCCCGTACAGGAGATTTCACCACCTCAACTTTTTCTTTCATTTTTATTACCTTAATCAGTACGTCCCAGGCAATCAATCCCTGAAAGACGTTAATTAATAATGAAGTTACTGGGTGGTGAGTTTAAGACAAGGGCCAAGCAGGCTATGGAAATGGCGGAAGAGGGCAAGGCTGAGAAAGCAATGAATGATGGAGAATCTACACTGGAGTGCATGTCTGTTTGAGGGAGGTGGCTGCTATTCAGCATTAGCAAACTGCCTTTCTACTGAATTCTAGGTCTGTTATTAAGTTATTTGATTTCTTAAAACATCTGAAATCTGGACTTCGAAAAAAAAATTGTATCTCTCAATTTTTAAAAGTTGGCAACTAATCACCTTTGAAGGTTAAAAAAGAAAGACTTAAGATACGACCTTTTCTAGGGGTATTTTCATTTTACAAGGACTCTGCCTTTGTAGAGAGGCTTGCAGAGCTGGGTTGTCCGGAAGAAATCACTTTCCTCTCCTTCCAGCCAAGCCTGGCATGCCCAGTGATGCTTCTAGTGAAAGGCTTGCTCAAAGCACTGTCTCCCCACGAGTTTCTGGCTGAGAAGGAGTGAGTGAATTCAAAGCTGATGTTGGCCCCACTCCCAACACTGTGCTAATACCATACCAGTACCAGAAAAGGGAGAAATAATTCTTGTATTGACAAAAACAAATTTTTACGTGTACATCTCTTACATGTTTTTAAAGTTACCTAGTGAAAATACAATTCAGAAAATAGCCAGTTCTACGGAAATAATCTTGATTTTCAATAATGTTCATTTAAACTTTTTTTTTCATTTAAACTTTTTAATGTAACGGGTTTTTAAGTTAATCTTCAATATAACAATTGTTTAACAGAGACGTTACGTAAGTACAAAGAAACAACTTAGAAATAGTTCCTCTAATTTTTTAATTTCCCTATTATGTTAGTGTACCTTTACTCAAAGATCTCATCATTTTTAAACAAGTCACTGATGTAAACAAAGTTACCTGAATGTGGTGTCTCTGTAGAAATGGCAAACCACTTTTTTACTCTCCTTGACTTCTTGAAAAAAGTCTCTCTCACTAGGGATTTCTCTGTATTCCCCATGTCCTTTTGAAAGCCATTCCTAATTTGGAGAAAAGGGAAATATTATAAACTTGAAATATCTTTCAGTACCACCTTACATTTATTTTGTGTCTAAATTGCTATAATATTCTGTAATGAAGTTGATTTTATCTTGTAGAGAAATCAATTCCTCTTAGTGATTTCCTTTCTTTCCTATGTCTCTAGTTTTAGTGCAGACATAAATCTGTGGGCAGGGACTATCTTTCAGCACAGTTTGTGTTTAAGACAATCATCTGTCTTGGTACCTTCAAACACATTTTCTCAGAACTTCAAAAATAAAAATTTAGACTTCAGAGACTTAAAATGTAAATATCCATTTAATTTCTCTGTACTCAAACTACTAAAATCAGAAGCATTAGGTCCAAGTTAACGCCAAGCTCTGAAAAACAATGCTCATGAGATAAAGCTACTTGGTCTTTGTAAGGAGGGCAAGAGGAGGGGTGGTTCCTGCAGCTCAAGTCCAGTTTGCTCAGAGGCAGGACCCACTTCTATACTGGCCACCAAGGGGGAGTATCTTAGGAAGAAAAAAATCACATGATGTCCAGAAACAATACAGATCTCACATAATGGCCAGAAATAATACAGATCCCATCAGTCATCTCATCCAACTTCTCAACCCAGTGTATCAACCCTCATCAATCATGCCTGACAGACTTTTCAGTTTCTCAAGCTTCCTGCTACAGGAAAGGTTCATCATCTCCATTGGAAGCTTGCTTCCTTTTTCAGGCAGCTGGTTTTAGTAAAAAGGAACACTGGGCTTACAGGCAGAAGGCATGGGCTTGAATAATTGTTCTACCACTTATTAGGCTAAGAATTCTAATAACCTCTCTGAGTCTCCTTTTCCTCATTTATAAAGTGGAGATCACGAAGCAACCATCTCACTGAGTTGTAAAAAAGTAAGACTATCAACATGATAGTGTCTGGCACAGGTGCTTAAAAAGCAGTTGCATGTATACTCTCTGTTTGAAAGGTTTTCTCACACTGAACTGCAATAGATCTGTAAATTTGGTCTGTGGATCTATGAACCACTTAGGTCTGTGGACCTAAGGTTAGAGAGAAAAGTTCTAATGTCTTTCACACATCAGTCCTTCCAATATCCTATCTTCTCTACCTCTCTCCCTTCATTTTCTTTTGGCTGTTTCTCATATGAAATGATCTCTACATATCTTACTTTCTAATTATCCTCCTCTGAACAGAGACTAATTCCTCCTTGTCCTTTTAAAAAGGGGCAGAAGTCTGAATGCGGCCCTCCAGAAGTAATCTACTGAGAAAGGGGCAAGAGTGCCATCTCCTTTCTTCCTCTGGACTTAAGCTAACACAGACTGTGTTAATAGCTTTGGTATCCATTTCACATTGTCTTATGCTGAGCTGACACTCACAGGAAGCCCTGGTGTTTCTCCCTATGTGACATTTCTCTGGTCAAACATCAGTGAACAACTTAAACTCTCAAGTACAACTCCTTAATGGCAGGTTAACATTTCATGCCTTTTCTTTTCTTTCTTTTTTTTTTTTTTATATTTATTTATTTGACAGGCAGACATCACAAGTAGGCAGAGAGGCAGGCAGAGAGAGATGGGGGGGAAGCAGGCCCCCCGCCGAGCAGAGAGCCCAATGCGGGGCTCAATCCCAGGACCCTGAGATCATGACCTGAGCCAAAGGCAGAGGCTTAACCCACTGAGCCACCCACGCACCACTCCATGCCTTTTCTTGACTCACCAATAGCACTGCCCTTAAAAGAGTGTTTGTTTTTTAAAAAACTCTTTTTAATTCTCATATGTTTAACCAACAGGTGGAAGACCTGAGCCTTTCCAAGTTCCTAAGAGGGAGGCAATCTTACTCTGAACCTCCACCAACACATGGCATCTCTCCCGAGACACTCAGCATACCCCTGTGCTCTTAGTACAGTTTCTTTCGGAGTTTGTGCTCTGCAGGGCATCTGCTGAATGGAATCAAGCAGGATGGGTAGATATCACAATGCAGGCTAAGCCTACCCAAGGCCTGGCAGCTGGGCAGCACCTAGCTCTCGCTTAGTGGCTATCACCCAAGCCTTTGGATGGGCTCTTCCTATTTCTCACCTGTCCTACTGCTTACTACTTAAGTCCTATGTCGCTAGCTGCTGTAACAAGAAGAGAGTACTCGGGTGACTGAGGCATATTAATTCAAATAGGTCTATTAAGTGCTTATGTCACTGCATATACTCATTTCCTGATACCTATACAGATCAGTAAATCAAAACTACTACACAATCTATACTACTCTCTCAAAAAGAGTATATATCATTAAAGCTTTTTGTCTACTTCCTTAAAAAACATTTTAATAAAAAAGATCTATTACAATGCAGTGAAAACTGTAAAATAAGACCCTCTCCATTATTCTATGACAAATTAATTTTAAATTGATCTGCCCAGAAATTAAAAAAAAAAGAAGTCCCTAAAGGCTGTACGACTTAGGTTTTTAATGATAAATATTCAGACTATTGTTTTTAACTGCTGACAGTTTCATTTAAGCCATCATGTATATTGCTTACTGCCAATCAGGTAGATTCAGTCTTTCTACAAAAAGATCCTGGTTATGACTTTTTTTAGTTGAACTATTAGCAATTAGTAGTGTTACTTAACTGTGATTGTGAAATAGGAATTTGTAGCAGAATCTCCTCTTACATTACCTTAGATAATTATTAGCATTATAATAAAAAAAAGTCTCCTGGCTTCAAAACCACACTACACTCACAAACCCTATTTTAGAAAACGCAAGCTATAAAAATAGAAACTCAGTCACATTACAAAACATTCTTTCCTTTTTGTAGCAATTCTTATAAACACTGAGAGTATAAACATTATCAAAGAGATGCTACAGCAACACAAACAAAACTCCCTATTTCTTTGGAAAAGTTAAAATCGCATGTTTTATTCACAGCCAACTGAGAGGAACCAGAATTGGTAATAATCTATTTCAATTTGACAAAAAGCAATGAAAACATTTTTAATCAAAATTAAATTTACAAAATTTAACCCAACTGGTTTTGATTAGTGTATGAGGCTGTTCCACACTCTAGAAGACCAATAAGGATAGAGCTGTGGCCACCCTTCTTTGTGACCCAGCATGCATTCCTTTGAATAAATAAGCCATATAATTGTTACAATGGAAATGCCTGAAATAATTTCTTCTGTGTAGATTGCCTTACAGCTCTCACCTCACTTACAGTGATCAGAGCTAAATTGGCTTTACAATTGGCTTTACTGGCTTTACAATTACTTAAAAGGGAAACCACTGACTCCCAGTGCTCTTCCTAGGCTCCTCCTCAAGCAAAAAATCTGAGCTCAAAAAATGATCTTGGGCACAGTGTTTCTTTTACTTGACTGTGGATTAACACACTGAACATGCTAATTTTTAATGTGTCTTTAAAACTAATTTTTTTCCCAGCAAATTTTTAAGTTATAATACTCTGTAGTAAAAAATAAAAACAATGCTAAAAATAAGGACTGAAATACAACTACTTCAGCACATGTATATATAAGTTGTTAGGAGCATACTGTTAAAGTAATTTCAGAAAGCAGGGCAGAGAGGTTACTTGTTTCTGCTGTTGAGCTTTCCTTAGTGCCTCAAGTCTCTTTTCTTTGAGGCGTTCCAATTCATCTTCGTCCATCTGATCCAGTTTCTGAATTTCAGAATCCAAATGTTCTTCTACTAGTTTCGTAGTCTGAAGCAACTGATTTTCCAGGACTTTTGAAAACATGTCTACAGATGCATTCGCTTCCATTCTTCTAAATGGTATAGCTCAGCCTTGGTGCTAGGGAGAATGTTTGTAAAGTTGGGGGGAAAAAAAAACAAGTAAAGTTTTCTCTACAAAAATTCTAGCAAATGTATAATTTGTACTACACAAAATGTTCTGCTGACAACAAAGAATTTCATGTTACCTATGAGAATTTTTATTTAAATGTTTTTTTTTTAACATTTTATTTATTTATTTGACAGAGACAGCAAGAGAAGGAACACAAGCAGGGAAAGAGGGAGAACAAGGCTTCCCACTGAGCAGGGAGCCCTATGTGGGGCCTAATTCCAGGCCCTGGGATCATGACTGGAGCCGAAGCCAAACCCCAAAGACTGAGCCACCCAGGCACCCCTAAATGTTTTATTCTTTTTAGAGAGGGGCAGAAAGGGAAGGGGAGGAGAGGGAGAATTTTAAGCAGGCTCCACACTCAGCGAGTTTGCTAGATTGCAACACTCTGAGATCATGACCTGAGTTGAAATCAAGAAACCGACTGAGCCACCTGGAAACTGACTGAGCCACTCCGACGCCTCTTACTGAAATGTTTTAAAATTGAATTTTCCACAGGTTATAGTCACACCACTCAAAAGATTACTTAAAGCGTAGTTTAGGTGCTTCCGACTTAGTGTTTCATTACAATAAAGCAAAGACAAGTCTTTATGACCAGAAAGAAGTGGGTAGTTGGAGTTCTACCTAATGCCATATATTAACAGTGCTTCTTTTTTTAAACCAGAAGAGAAATAAAGCAGAAATTACTGAATAATAGTGAAGTTTAACTGCAGAGAGGTTTTACACATACATCTACAAAACAAACTTTTCTTCAGTACAGAACAGAGTGCAGCCAAAAACCCATTTTTTGAGGTTTCTACCTAAATGATTAACTCCTGAGAAAGTACTTTACAATTTATGCAAAGAACAGTGCCTGGTATTCCCTAAATTTTAATTTTCACTGCTGTTCTCTATGACCTAACAAAATCTATGATGCTACAAAGATTGATGCTGGTATGGATCTACTGACAGTGTTCTTTGATGTAAAACAGTATCACTCCAAATGTTAAAAATACTGATTTTCCCATCACTCCTTTATGTAACATAGAGTAGTTTAAAACAGAATCTAATTCAGATAGGAAAGGAAGCTCTATCTCAATAACACATGTTATAAAATGTAGTATTTTCTATTAACAACAATCAGATGGAAATTTTATGTGTACCTCTGGGTTATTACTACAGAAATATAATTTATAATTTGCTTATGAAAGCAGGAAGATGTTGCATTTCAATTAACTATGACACAGTTGCAAATACTACTGAAAACCTTAAAAAAAATCTTAATAAACTGTGAACTCACTGACCCACAATGAGTGGGTCTCTGACACATAGCCTGACTCACACAAACCCTCTACAACTACCGAACTGAAAAGAAGTCATCTTCTTGCAAACTTCACTTTTTTTTTTTTTCTTCACAGGAAAAGCAGTTGAAGGCAGAATTTCATCTTTGTATCCCCAGAGGTAGCAGTGAATGGAACACAGCAAGTGCTCAAAAAATATTTGTTAATTTGGGGACGCCTGAGTGGCTCAGGTCATGATCTCAGAGTCCCGGGATACAGTCCATCTCCGCCTCCTTGCTTAGCCGGGAGCTTGCTTCTCCCTCTGCTCCGCTCCTGCGCGCGCGCGCGCACACACATGCACACACATACACACACTCTCTCTCTCTCTCTCTCTCAAATAAAAACCTTTAAAAAATTTTGTGAAGGAACATGTCCCTACTTTCTGTTCAAATTATCCTTAAGTTTCAATATGAAAATGCTATACATTTTCAATGAATTATATTTCAAATACAGTAAAATAACTTCACACTTCCTATCTCCAAAGAAAAATGTCAGTGAGACTGTTTCCCTTAGGGTTGGAGCCGGATGAGGCAGAAAACTGGTTATTTAACAAGACACTGACTTACATGTCAGAACCTGTTCTTACCAGAAATAGAGCGGATGCTGATCCCTGGAGTTTTATGAGATGAACTCAGAATTTAATTCTGGGATAACCGGGAACAGAAGCGAATACCAAGAGCTGTTCTGGGGACAGGTGATGGTGGTCACCGCATTCACAAAGGGGAAAGGAGATGGTGTAGCGATCCCGGTAACTTTTCATTCTTCAAACCACAAACCTGATTCTTCCATTTTACAGTTCATCGGCAAGAGTGGGAAGGGGCTTGTCCTCAAATTACCTAACCGTTTCCTTGACTCCCTTACATGCACCCTCCAAAACACCTTAACTGCACCTGAGACACCTTCCGAAAAGCATCCTTGCCATTCCCTGAGCCCACAGGGACAGACCAAGGCGGAGTACAGGTAGCCGGGTCTTCAACACCTCCCAGGGCGCATGCGCCGAAGCCGCCTCCGCCTCACTGACACCGACGTCTGGGCCGCGCCCCTCCCCCGCCCTGGCCGGATGTTGAGTGAAGTGTCCATCAGCACTGGGAGGCGGCAGCCGGTTTTTTCACACCATCCTCTGCCTCACCTGAGCTCTCGGTGACACCTGAGAATGAAGAACTGCTCCAGAAAGGCAGTCGGCTCTGGCTTCACCCTCGCAGCAGCTGCCGGTGGCTGCGAACCGGCCGTCACTTCCGCCTTCCCTTTGGCTGCAGCCCTCACGCGATACAAGCTGCGACGCCCGAGATGTGGGGCGGGGGAGGAGGGCGTGCGTACTGTGAGCGCGCGTGCGTAGCTCCCATCCTCCGCCCCAAGATTTCCGATTTTTAGCCTCGCTCTGGGTAAACCGTCCACCGGGGAAGAAGCAAAGTATTCTGGAGGCTGTAGTTTATCAGTGCTTGGTCTGGCCGTGTTGGACTTCGCTAGGCTGCGAGCCTCAGTACTCACAATGTTACATCAGAAACGAGAGAGCTACAATCTTGCTCCGGAGTGACACTCCAACTTCGCTTCTGTCGTGTTGAATGAACACTTTTTTTTTTTTTTTAAGTTGAGGTATAACTTCCACAGCATGATTAGTTTTTACATACTTAACACCCGTAGTATCACCGTCCAGATCCGGATATTAAACATGTTTACCACCCTAGCAAGTTGGTTCCTTTTGTACTTCCATAACACAAATTCTTAGATCTTGCTCTCACTTTGAATGTAAAGATTAATTTCTATTTCGGGGAATTAAGGGTGTGTCCTTGTTCATGGTAGTTGTTTTTTAGTGACTGAACAGACTTTATAATTAAAGGACGTTACTGAGAGTCCCAATTTGTCCTAGATTTATTACCTGGAGTGCCTATACTGGTTCATTGTGTTTCGTTACTGAACTGCGTGCGGTTGAGAATACAAAGATACAGAGATGGAAGGAAAGCCCAAGGCTTACTCCTGAGGGGAGCTCCAGAACTCCCAAGTCTGCGTTCCCCTCAGAGATGGAGCTGACATGGGGAATTTTCAGCTTCATTGTCTGTCTCAGGGTTCTAGAACCAGGACACCCGGCTGTTATTCTTGCGCGGCGGACGCTTGCGGAAAGGGGGCGCTCAGGCTCCCGCCTGGCTGGCGGGTCAACTGGAGACGCTCTACCTAAAGCGCAGCTCTCGATGAGCCGCGCCCTGCGTCCCCACGCCGAAGCGGCGAGGCGATGCGCTTGCGCACTGAGAGCTCACACCATATGTGCCCTGTCCCAGTGCGCGGGTCTGTGGAGAGCCGGGTGCGAGAGGCGGCACTGCGAGGGGAACCAAGCCGAAAAGAGACCAAAGTCGGCTGGGGGACAGTGGGTCTGTGAGAGACCGAATAGAGGGGCTGGGGCTACGAGCGCCGCTGACACACGATGGGGAAGAAGCAGAAAAACAAGAGCGAAGACAGGTAGCCAGTGACCGGGTCCACACGGCGGCGTCCGGCGCAGCTCAGTGGTTCGCGCGGGTTCCGGCGCGGGGTGGCCCGGGGGCGAGGCTCGCGCCAGGCACCACGGGGCTCCGGGCCTGGGTCCAGAATGGGCGGCACGGGGCCAAGACCCCAGTTCCGGGCGGGCGCAGAGGGCCTCGGCGGCGAGCGGGTTCTTCCAGTGGAGGCTCCGTCCCTCCGCTACCTCTCGCCCGGCCTGGAAAGAGGGGTGTCTTGCCTGAGGAGCGGGACAGTGGTTTGGGGGTTCCTTGCCCCATGGGGAGGGACTCGGGTGGCTTCGCTGGGCCGGAGACGCCTGGCCAGCGTGGCTCGGGCCAGCGTGAGAGTTGTTTTTGCGGCGCTACTATTGGCAAGGGTCAGGAAGAGTTCTTTTTGTGCCTTTGTACCTGTGAGTACGTGAAGAGAGGAGAGTTCGAATATGAGTGTACCTACAGCTAGGTTTCTTAACTCTGAGACGCTCAGGTGATTGGAGTTACAGGGAGGTGTTTACTAGGTTACACCCTTTTAACTTCATTTAATTTGGTTACAGTTTTCAATTTTAAGGTCTGGTTGTCCATACTCCGTGCTTTTCGCTTTCCTTCTTCCGGCCCGTCTTCTGGCGATTTCTTTGCTTTTTAGCACCTCCCCCTAAGAAGGGAGGAGGAGGAGACAAAACCAACCAACCAGGGTCTCTCCTTTCTAACCTCTTAAAAGGCTTTTGGGGGGAGGGAGTGTAAGGGTGTATGTAGAGTTACGTACCCCGAAATTTTTGCACCATTTCTGTGTGTCCCATTCGATTGAAACCTTTTACTCTTCTCAAAGTTTACTCCCTGAGAGTGAACATCTGTTCGCCAAACTTAGTTCAAATACTAGGGGGAGAGTAAGGTAAATTGAAAGTTAAATAAAGGTAAATGTAAAATAAAGGTAAATTAAAAAAACAAGACAACAACAAAAGCCCCCAAACCAGCAACCTCTGATAGTTCATTTTGACTCAAAATGGGTATCAGGTTTTAATGTTAAAATGACTACTAATTATAATTCCTGGATTGTTTGCTCACCTGACACTCATCAGTGATGAGCGGAATTAAAAGACACCAGGGTGAGCCTTGTATTTCAGCTGCGGATCTAGTGGAAGAAGTTAACTGGTTTGCAGACTAGAACTTGTTAATCACCAGGTAAATGAGAGAAAATAAGCAGACTTCTGGGTGATTTAGTGGGACAAAAATTTCTCTGCTTTTGACAGGATGTTTTGACGCATAGGATACGTTTTTATTTAAACGGTTTACGGAAAGAGGAGTGTAATAAAGCTTCGTATACAGATTAGCCGTTTCAACCATGGCTATCCCATGACCATTCCTGTTCCATCCACCTGAGATATTTTAAAGCCACATCAGTCTTAATGTGGTAATCATTCAGGTGTATATGAAAGGTAAACACTTGAGAAAAGCAACTTCAGTTATCAAGCCTAAGGAATATTAAGAAGGGTATCTTAAATATTATTGAGTATCCACTCATTTTCCTAATTTCATTGTCTTATTTAAAAAAAAAATTTTTTTCTTGGTTTGGTTCAAGATTGCGGAAGTCATGTTCTTTAGTTTAAAAAAAAAATACATGTATATGTTCTTTTCCTTACATCTTTTGCTTTGTAAGCTCTTTCATAATGGAATAAAGCTATTCAGAGGGGAGATATTTATTCTTGTTTATTTATAGAAAAGAGTGTTTCTTACTGATTCATGAAGATTTTGGTGAGTGATGGAAAGTGTAAACACTGGAGCCTATTAAGTGATTGGTTTGGTAGTATAGAAAGAATGCTACTACTGTTTTTTTTTAACCTCATCAGACTAATTTGTGCTCTTATATTTTGGCTCATTTTGAAGCAAACGTGTTAGCAATGTAATCGAAAAATTTATTTTCTCATATGCCAATATCAAGTTTTGTTTATTTTCAAATGCTTCATGGACTCCTTTGCTTGAATACCTTTCAAATAACTAAGAAATTGCAGGGTTTTGCAGAAGTCCACCTTTGACTGGAACGGCTTGGCCTTTTTACTTTGGCATTCCTCGTAAGATATTTTGGAGGGAAGGAGGACAGGGAGGATATTTTGGGGGTGAGGAGGGTAGCAGGGAAGTTCCACTACTTGGAAATTAGTTTGCTTTGACTTTCTCTTTATTTAAATAAAGTTTTTTTCAAGCATATTTTGCATATTTTAAAAAGAAACAAAAACATACACTAGGAGGAAAGTCTAGAAAGAGCTGTATTTTAGGACTAATATTCTTGTTTGTGTAAAATGAGATACTTGTCTGGTTTTATTCTCTTGTATAAAGATCTCCACTTTTAAAGATTGTACATTCATCCCACCACCCCTTGCCTTGCAAGCTATGTTAAACTGAACATGTTTTCTGGCCAGGTAGAACGGGGTGAGAAATGAGCAGCTGCTAATTAGTTATCAAGATATAGGGAATTGAGTCGCTTTTCAGGTTGGAAAGAGCAAAAAATACTTGATCGTTTTAATCCTTACTTCCTTTTTTTAATCCTTATTTTAACTTCTCATCCACACAGTGTTCATTTAAAATTAGGTTTTATTTCATCTGAGTATCTAATTTTATTTGGGTAATATATGCTTTGTTCTATCAGTGACTTTTGTTTAAAAGCTGTTCTCAAATTTTGTTCCAGTTTGTGTAATTCTGGGAATGAGATTTTATAAGATATTCAGTAAGTTTTCCTGCCTTTTTTCAGTTGATTGGAGAAATTCTTGATGAAATAAGGGCTAGGGGGCGCCCTCGTGGCTCAGTGGGTTAAAGCCTCTGCTTTCCACTCGTGTCTGTCAAATAAATAAATAAAATCTTAAAAAAAAAAAAAAAAGAAAGAAGGGCTAGGATTCAATATCTGTAGATCATACAAAATATAAGGCCAGTATTTTCATGATTCTCACAGTCATCAGTTTACATAATGGGACCTTATGGGATTTTGTGTGTTCTAGTGATGTCCTTCTGTTGACACAATACGATTGATGTTCTCTTACTGATGAGTGTAAAGAAAAAAAAGATCTAGGTTATTTCATTTTTCACAGCCTCCAGTTCTTTATTCTGGTCCCTTTTTTGTTTGATCCCTTAAGTGTGGTAGTTCTATTTTTTAGATTATAAGGAAGTTAGTGTGTCACCTTAATAGGATTAATACTCCCCCACCCCCACCAAAAGGGAAAAAAAAAGGATACAGAGGGAAGAAAGAGAATTATTTTATCTATCTCACCAGCAGCTATCATGAGGTGGGGATGTCATTCAGGAACTGGAAGGTCTTTCAGGATTCCGTAGAGTTCTAGGATATGTACAGCATCAGGTAATTTTTTGCTGTGGTTCTTTATACCAGCAGTGAACCAGTATAGTGACTCCACTATTCCTTGTTTTAACTCAGATATTGTTCCTGTCATTACTGGCAAATTCCCTGGTCTTGAGAGTTCTAGCTATCTCTCAGACAGTTGCCTAACCGTTAGATGCTTTCCATAATGTCAGACATTCATCCTAGTCAGTCAGATATGATTAGGGTACCGGAGTCCCTCCCTATGATAGAAAACATGGTGATCTACTTGAGGAACCTGCCCAGAAGGAGCTCTGAGTATAGCGGGTAGTCCAGAGCTTTCCAGAGAGGGAGTGGATCAAGTGGCAAATGGTCTAGCTCAACAAAGGAATTTATTTCTAATTTGTATGTACTTGAATTAATTAAAAAAAAAAGACCTATCTGCATATATTAGATCAAAAAAGAAAAAAGATATATAATCCAAGAGTTCTGTTC